AAAAGGCCACTGAAATATCGAAGCCATCTTCAGCCGGCTTGATTATGGCTCATCTTTCCACCGTTTACCGGGTTCCATGGATGGCTTGGGGTTTAGCTGCAAGTAATGAATTCGGCCAGATCGACAAATTTCCATTTGTCACCACTCTCACCCAGCCACTTCAGTCGTGAGTGATTTCAATGATTTCACGCGAATTTTTGAGATTAATTCCTGAATTCTTGAGTTTCAGCATTGGCTTCTGCGTCCTACAGGTGCTCGCCAATTTTGGATGGAATATTGTCTCGATTCTTTACTCGGAGAGTGAGATTCCTTATTGTTCGACACTTGTGGATTCATTCGTGGTCAGCGAAATGGTTACAGTAATTTCTGCTGCAAATGCATTGCCGTGTCAAGGGGGCTGGGTTTGGCATGGCGCCAGAGCCGTTCTCCACCGAATGTTGTAGCAAGCAAGCGACCACAATCGGTGGAAAATGGGCTGTCGCTGCACCAAATGCACCCCATATGACACGTCCCGGCGTCTGCAGCGAGAACAGCTATCACTGGAAATTCAATGAACTTTTATTACGATTTTTTAAGACAGCGGTAAGCGATCCTGCAAATACCTTTATACCGACGATTGCCGTCAAGCAGGTTTTGGATCTCAAAAACACCGAAGCTTATTCGCGAGCACTTCGACAAGCACAACAACGTTCTAGAGGGAAGTTTTGGTACCACACTAGATCATTCAGTCTTACTATTGTCCTCTGGATGAGACCCAGCCTACTACATTGGTCCTTCTTTTAGGGCGGTAAGATGAGATGTGGTGCATTGGAGATTCCCTAACGCAGTGGGAGGGGGGGTCCTATTCATATTTCGTCGCTGTAAGAAAAAGGTCGTACTTGACCCAATGCGCGTTTTTTACCGTTATCTTTATCTTGACCGTTCTACAGCTCTCTATCTTCCTTTATTTGACGGTAGTTTTCCCGTTTTCGATAGTTGCTCGTAGCAGAGGGCTTCCAAGTCCTCCGACTGAGGAAGGGTCGCTGAGGACGGTGGTGACTTGGAAAATGTTCCCTAACAGCAAAAGGTGCCCGTGAGGAACGCTCCAATGGAAGGACAGAATGGTGGATCCAGCCCACGTGACCAGCGTGAAATGTGTCTTCGAGTTATGTAGCGACTATATCCTTTGGCAGGAGCGAACAACGCTCTGTTTTCAGTTATTCTGTTCTGTATGGACCTAGCTTTGGAAAAGCGAGCCTTCCTGGCTAAAATATCGGACGCTGGTATGATTACGGATGAATACGTCTACATTATGTTGTCAATGAGGAGTCAAGCTTTTGGTAATCTGTTTCCTAAGACGAGAAGAACCCTATTTGTGGATTAATTCTTAAAATTTCAGGTCAAACCGGAATAGGACACCAGATCCGTAAGTTTTTGCAGGTGATTTCACTCCAACTCCTATGGGTAGTTCTCCTTACCCAAGATCCCATAGGATCAAAAGCCACGGATTCACATCGTTACATTGGTAGTGAGGACAGGGCTTTGCATGAGTAAAGAATCCTCAACAACACGCGGGGACAAATTTGGTCCTTTGGGAGCGGTCTGCCAGCCTCAAAGCGCAGGAGTTATGTGGAAGAAATGAGATCTTTTATATTCCGTTGATAATGAGGGGTCTTAAGGCAAAGTTCAGGTCGCCACAATCCGTCAAGGAAGTGTGAGGGAACGTTGACTGAGCCCCTCCGCGGCGTTCTCTACCATTGGCGGTTGCATTCCTAGAACAACCACTATCCGATCACTGCTGGTATAGAAAGCAGCAAGGAGGCAGGGTAGTTCCGCCCTCTGACACCGTCCTGCCGGATTGCGATTATTCCAACTGTAGGTGACGAATAACTTTGGTGCACGAATAACTTTTGGGTCGCCACTGCTGTGTTCTTGGGATCGTCGGAAATGGCACAACTGCTGAGGGAACCTTTCCATAATGCACATGGCCTGCGTATGTACCTGTTACTACCAGCACTGTTATAGTTTCGAGTGGGCTCACCGCCTTCTGGGAGGATACTGAAAAACAGAACGCCGACGGTTTGGATTCCATTGCCAAGGAAGCTGTGAGGCGCGTGATTTCGGTGAATAGTTTTTAATTAGGGCCAATCAAAGTTCATTAGAAGGCGATTGCTTTTCTTTCAGCTCGATACTTGATGCCACTGTCACCAATCAGACCGTTTTTCTTTCAGCGATTTCAAAGCTGACGTTGTTCAACGGAGTGCGTGAACGCACTCCGCCTTTTCTGTGCAACTGACGGATGTCTCACGAACGACAACAAAGCGGTAAGTCTAAATATGGTCTTGATCCCAGAAAGCGTTCATACTTTGCAATTCAATCGCGCACTCCTGCAATCGCGCGATGGAAAGTTGCACACACCATGCTCCACGGTTAATCTTTGGGCTTGTGCAAGTGCTGATTTCATGCCACTTTTGAGCGAACTATAATACATGGCGATTTATCCTCTTCAATTACTGCGACTCCAAGACGATGTTACCGACCTTGTCTGCATATCGCTTCGTCCTCAGATAGGCAATAGTGGAGAAAGACGGAAGAATCATAGCAAAAATTCTAAGCTAGTTGGCGCTGCTGTGTCCGTCATAGATGTTTTTAGCCACGAAGATATTTCGCCCCTATCAAACCCATTGACTTCTAACACTTGAGTAGTTTTTATTCCCTCTCCCCGTCCCCACTATCCGAAGCAACGACAGCCGCCGTTTTTGTCGTCCATACCATAGAACCTCCCCGTCAAATTCTGATTCCTGACACCAGCGTCTGTAGCGCTCGCGTCAAGCATTTTCACACCGAATCGGTTTTTCTTAACATTTATTAGAACCAAACAACCTCTGAGGACGAGGTTCTCGTTAAATCGAAGTATTTTTTGGGTCGCTCTGAAATCCTACAAAACGGCATCGTAAATATGGCTGGTAGCAGCCACTGACGGTATCATCTGCACTCTGCGTGGCAGTTCGATGTCTGGTGCAACTATATACCAGAGGTGGAGAGGGCGTGGCTGCGTTCCTGGTTTGAGTATGGCGGCCAGCTGCGCTTCACTTGAAGCGGAGCCTGAACACCTTTTGAGCCTGAACACCTTTTTTGATCCATTCTTGCTCAGCTACATAACGGCCAACTATGCCTGGCCGTGGAGTGATTGTGAAGAAATAGCAGTGGTTTTCAGAGAGGCAATTATGCGAGGCAGCTCCACGACACCTTCTATATGTTCGGGTCGGGCCTATCCCGTGAACCGACGTACTATCACGATGCAACGAACCTTACCAAAGCCATGGCTGTAGATTTTTCAGGTAAGACAATGTCCATGATTGAAGGAATGTGGCCACCAATGTAATCTGGGCAAACTTACAGACTAAACATACCCAACAGAAGAGAACACTAAGAAGCAGGCGCCTGACATGGCCGCCTCTTTTAATAACCGAAGTCTATAACTAAAGGCGCTTTTACAACGCCCTGTCGAGGCGCGACGTGCCCCGAAGCGTACGCCCACCGAAACTGCACGCTCAGTGTACAGCATCGTCGTGTGTAACACTTAGGATGGGGGTCGTACTTTTCGGCTAGGGAGGGTGGTCGTATTCGCCGTCGTTGTTCGGGACGAGCGGGAGGGTCCGTATTGTGGCTATTGGGAGGAATATTGCCGCGCGTTGGAAAGTTTTTTTTTTTTCCTGCGTTGGATCTTGACTTTTCGATTCTTCCTGTTCATTGTGTACTGATACTCCCTTCTCCCGCCCTCGACAGCAAAATCTTTGGGTGAAAAACTAGAAAAGTGTGGGAAATTGGTAGGTGGGTCTTGGGAAAGGAGGGGTATCGTAACACCCACCATTTCACACATCACGATGCTGTACCCTATGCACGCTTACAACTGACCGCACCAGTCAGCAGTGATCACATTCGGATCAGCTGTTTTCATCCATAACCTGAAAATGGTGTTTTTTTACTTTCACAGGGGAACCCCTCTTCTGGGGAGTTGGTAATCAAAGAATCTTCATCTGCCTTTTATCATATGTGGTACCCTTTCTAGAATATATACCGATTTCGATTGTTCTTTTCGCAGGATTTCTGCAAAGTTTCGGCCGCTGTTCCGTCGAGAAGTCACCAGCATGTCCCTTTTCTTGATGATGGCAATTTTTGATACTGCCATAGAGTTTGCCCTCGCTTGAAAAATTATATTTTCATTATATTTTCACGCTTACCTGAGAGTGGGCCGCCATTTTTTTGCGTGGGTCGTTGGACGATGATCTACAGCCTTGTTGGCTGTGGATGAAGGCGCGTGCCCAAGGGGGAGGGGTTGGCGCGACTGTAGCCCGTTTTCTTTATCCTTTCGGGCAAGCGGCGAGAATGTATCCATGTAGTCTGTATCACTCGTTGCCCATCAGTTGTTGCTCACCCGTTTCAACAAATGGTTGGGGACGAGCTGGGTGTGTGCCAAACCCAACTCTACTGACATTGCCCCTTCATACGCACGACAGAACCGCTAGAATGAAGCGATTGTTAACAATACCACGATTACATAATTGAAGATTCGTTGTTGCCCTTGCTGCTATTTCCAGCAAAATGTGTTGAAAGGGTCAAAGTAGACGACCAAAGTAATACTACTGTACTTTCGTTATAGGCGGTTACACTACGCTACACATCCCAGCGATAAAGTGGGCGTGGCTGCGTACTTTGAACATAGCGTAGAATGTCCATGGGATGTTGTTTCATTTGATACGAGTGTTATCCTATCTTGTACTGGGCAAAACCATGCTTGCAACTGTCTTAAAACTGCAATGTTCTTTCAAATGAGCAGCTTCGCGCATTTCAAGGTACAGTTACGCAGCACACCCATTCCATCGCTGCGGTATGTGCAGTGCCATTTATTTGTCAAAAATCTTTTTTGTTGGTTTCAGGGTTGACTGGTGAAGTGGAGATGACAGAGAACAACACCCGTGTTGCCGACTTTATGCTCTATTATCTCGATACGAACTTTCAACAACATATTTTCATGAAAATAACCTATAAGGATGCAAAAATGGTAGGACTCAAAGGAAAAATAGATATGAAAGCTTTCGCATTGATCAACCTTTTATGGCGTCGGTGCGGCCACGAATTTAACTTCCATGCAAAACTGTAGTAGGTCCTGGCACAGTTTCAGCGACATTGGAGAGGGGGGGGCGGGGGAGTGAGGCATTTTGCACTTTCGCTGCTTCACTAGTTCCGGTTTACAAGTCTCACTCTGGTGAAACCTGTGAACTCTTGTGAAGCTGGAGCAAGCTCGTCGAGCCTTCATGGTAAAACCTGTTCACTCAAGAAAAGTGTCACGCCGATGGGAAGTAGCAAAAATGCAAAATGCCCCGTCCGAACTGCTCCTAATAGCTTGATGAATGCGATGTGGCCTGTCCGATGAATTGTGCGTACAAGTGTTCTACTCCTCCCAAAAGAATCTGGTACCAATTTACCGTCCCTGGATGGTAAGGCTTGGTTGTCCTGGGCAGGAGCAAATCCGGGGTTTGACTGCCGGCTCGCGTCCAGGTAGGGAGTATTGACATACGTAATGACAAAAATTTGTCAATCCATATACGAAGCGTGAGCTAGTGGAGGATTCCTGCCGGTTCCAATACAAACTGGGCAAGTGTACAAACTATCTGCGGCTCAGTTTGGCGAAGGGGCATTTTGCACTTTTGCTAGTTCCCATCGTCTTGCCGAGCCATTTGAAATCTCGGTTTTGGGCCTAAAATAATCCCAAATATAGGAGGAGCAGTCATTTGCTGTAAACTGATCGATCGAGGAAGGCTGCGTTCATAATTTGCGGCAGCTTCTAGCAGCGTTTCGAGCGTCCTTCACCGTCAGCGGGTAGGGACGTACACAGGGGGAGGGGGCAAAAAAGTCACTTTGGCCGAGTCACATATCAGCGAAATTTTCTTCGCAGCCCAGACAGAGGACGTGGATACAACGCAGGCCTTAAGATACCCGAATGTTCTCTGATACAGTGCATGTAGCAGGCTGCCGCTCATCACCTTCCATGTACGCAAAATATGAATGTCATCTCCATATACCGCAGTCGAGCGCCGAATAAAAGACCTATGGAATTCACGTCACCTCCATACAGCTGCGAAACTTCTCGTATGAAATCATTCATGGGCAGTTACCTGGATCGAGCAGCTCTGACAACGTCGCTACGGTTCAGGAACTTCTTTAATGGAGTCTCCCATGGATAGCTACCTGGAGACCAGTACTCTTGATCTGCAAGACCTCCAACATCGAGCAGCTCCGACAACGTCGCTACGGTCCAGGATATCATCTTCACCGCAGTCGCCAAGGCGCGGTTGGTGGTATGGACCGGAAGTTCCTGGAATGTGAAGACCGATATTTTCTTCGTGGACCCCGGACTGAAGGTGAGCGCTGACGGTTACATCGACCAACTCGTGGAGAATATCCTGCCTTCATGTCATCGCCTGTACCTTCTTGGAACTTTACTGCTACAGGATTGGGTGCCTCCACACGGAATCGAAGGGCGTTGGAAAAACTCTCGCCTACTTGGAATGGAAGGGCGTTGAGTACCTGAAGAAGATGGAATATCTAAGTGTGTCACCTGACCTAAACCCCCTCAATTACCCGGTTCGGGCGGAGCTCAACAGGGTGGTCTACAGTGGCGGAGAAATCAACGATCTCGCTGAACTCAGGTACCGAATCACGGTCGCGTGGCAGAATCTCTCGATGGCGCTCGTCCAGAAGGCTGTGGCGGAGTATCATGAGTATACAATATGCTGTTGAATATGGTGGTGGAAATGGCCCTGAAAGTCAAGAAAGAAAAGTGACTTTTTTGCCTCCCCTGTAGATATATATCTAGCGTCTACCAGCGTCCACCAGTGTCTGCTAGAGGGTAGAGAAGTAAGGTATCGATCTAGCGAGCCAGCAGCA